TATATATAGTTGCAAGAATCTTAATAAAGTACTAGTGTGGCTGCTTAAGAGCAAAAAAAAAAAAAAAAAAAAAAAAATAATGAAAGTATATAAATATGGCATAATGGTAAATAACTATGATATATATATTATAAAGTTGATAAATTGGCAAGAGTAGAAAGAAAAGAAAATAAAAAAAAGTATATGAGTTATTCGAGTAAGTTATTATATATTTTGGTAATTATATACATAGTAAGAATTTCTCTGGTTTATGTTTTGAAATGGTATTATTTTAGAAATAAAATAAAAATGATTAAAATAATAAAATATAAAATTTAAAGAAAATGCTTAGTCTATTAAGTATATACTTGCAGTTTGATTATGATAACATGTATATATATAACATTGAAATATGTTAATTAGCTGAAAAATTATTAGTAAATTGTTGATTGTAATACTTTAGGATAAATAATATTTTAGGTATATCCATCTTCAGCATAACTGCTGTTTAGTAAAATTTTTAAAATTTTTCTTGATGTCATTCTAGAGCAAGCTATATACAATTGATTATGCAAAAAGACTGGAATCAGCAAATATACATCAACATAATTTAAAGTTTGTCCTTGGACCTTATTAATAGTCATTGCGAAAGCAGGTTGTATAGGAAATTGAAGACACTTAAGAACAAAAAGCAAATTAATATTTGAAAGAGTAAGAGAAATATGAGGAAGAAAAGTACACAAGCTGGCATGTTTTTCTGTAATGATTTGAACTTCAATAATGTGTAATACAAAAGTACAGCAGATTAAGCATGTTTTATTACAAAGCCTTTCAAAAGGATTGATATTTCGTAATAGCATAACAGGAGTGCCAACTTTTAAAGTTAATCTATATGAAGGTAAGCCACTAACAAATAATGTGTTTAAAAATTCAACTGAATAAAGATGGTCCTAATTATTAATATTAGATTCTAGTATATTATTAATGCTATTAGTGCTCAAATATTCAATTTCTTGTCTAGGATATAAGTTTATAATGCATGAATTAATTGAATTAACTTCACTATTTTTGGGAGTAAGAATTCCATATTCTACAAAGTAGCTAAAATCATGTATATATTTAAAAGATCAGGGTATATGAAATCTATTAGATCATGTAAATTTTGTAAATGGATATAAATATTATTAGGAAGCTTAATATAATTATTTTTTTCTGCATTTCATTCAATGAGATCTTTTTCAATTTGAAAAAGCCAATTTGCAAAATTTTGGTGTTCAGTTGCATCTTCAATATTTACTTCTTTTTTTGCTTTTGTTAAGGCCTTTTAGTTATAGTTGCTACTGCCTTTATTGTGAATTCAATTATGATTATATAACTTGTACAAGATTACCTCTATACTATACTAGCAGATAGCAGTACAAGCTCTCATACACCTAATTAGATGCCATCTAATCTAACCTTGACCTCCCTGTTTGTATGTCTGTTAGGCTATTACATATTTCAGAGTATGTCACCTGACTATAGGGCTTCAGAGGGCCCCTTGCTAACTAACTACCTACATTTAATCTTTGCTAAGTTTACTCAGACCCCAGCACTAACTTCATAACATATTCCTAGTACTTTAGTATATCTCTGTTTCCGATCTCAAACTTCCAATTCAGATAGTCCAGTAGGACTATGACCTGTCTCTGGTACCCCAGAGTCTGTCTCCCAAGGTTCTTTTCCTTCATTTTAAGACTTCTGGTGACCTGATTGGTGGTACCCCTCACCTGAGGTTCTTGCCTGCCTGATTTCTTTCACATTGGTATCCATTTCCTAGATCTAGCCTTTACAGTAGTACTGTCGAAGATCTGTGTTACCTTTCTACTCAGGTCTTCCCAAGTGGGCTTCAGTTATTCTAGTTCACAGATTTACATGATCACAGATGCCCCATGACCTGCCAGTTATCTGGTGTAACCATGTTACAAGTATTGATCCCAACCGATCAACAGATAGCCATTGCCGTATTACTAGTTTCAAGGACTTATCTTGTGTTTGCACTACCCAATGCTGGTTTGCATTCCTCTGTATAACTCTAGCATTGCACAGATGCCCATATATACTGATGTAACATAGGTGGTTGTCCAAATTTTTACTGTCAGTAGGTTTTGACTCCAAACCTACCACTTGGGAGTTGACAACTTATCTACTTCACTAAGTTGCTACACCCTTTCTTCAATATTTACAGATTGGCTTAAACACATATTTATTGTTAATTTCATGATAGTAATATGGTGCCATAAAGAAGATCATAAGATATATGAGCCAACTATATCTTTTCTTCTTTCTTTAAGTACAATAGGCAGAATTTGTTAAAAATCACCTCCAAATACAATTATTTTTCCTCTAAAAGATTGAAATTGTAATCTAGAATCCAAAGCTTTTATTAAGTTTTTAAGAGTTCAATCAACAGCTTTGATTGCATAATGTTTCTTTATTGGGGCTTCATTTCAAACTATAAGGCTAGTTTGTTGTAATAGAATAGCATGTTTTGTTCTATGCAAAATATTATATATATAATTTTCATCTAATTCAAAAAGAATTTTGAATTGCAAATGTGCAGTAGAACCTCTTTTTAACAAAAGAGCTGCAATTCCAGATGAAGCTACTGCAAGGGCTATCTGTTCAGAAGACCTGATTTTATCTAATAATGCATTATACAAAAATGTCTTATTTGAACCTTTGGATTCATCTATAAAAAATGCTATAGCAGTTGCATTTTCTATAGTGATAACTACTGAATCAAATATATTATGCTGTTCAGAAGTTAAGAGTAAATAAGTTTTTTTTACTCTGTTTTTTAATAGCTCTGCATCATAATGTAATTCTTAAGTAATTAAATAGTTAGATGTAATAGAGGCATCAGGAAGTGGCATTGAAATAGGCAAATTGGAAAAATCTTCAAGTTATATATCATTTCTAATTAAAATCAACTTAAGACAATGCAATGCAAAATTATGTATGTTAGTAGTAGTGAAGCTATATGAAGAATTATGATCAGCTTCGATACTAGCTTGATAAATTATATCATTGCTAAAATGTGAGATGTACTTTTCTCAAAGTAATTCAGGATGAGTAAAATTACAAAAGATAAGAATAGTAGCAAACAAATTATGCATTTGTGCTCCAGAATTAAGGTGACTAGCTTCATTCAAACAATTATTCTATTTATTGTCATTTTGTAACATTCTAAGAGCTTCACATACAGCTTTGAAAGTATCATATTGAACATTATTGATTGTTCTAATATGTTCAAAAGAAGTTGCATCTTTTATTATGTTTAATAACATTTAGAAGTAGTTTCCTTTTTGTCTTAGTTTTCATTCTTTTAGCCACTTATCATATATCCAATAGGTAGGGAAGTCTGCATAAGTAAGTTCATATGCTGCAGAAAATTTTTGATTGGCTTTGAACTATGCAGTTAAAGTGGTCTTAGAATTGGATAAGTTATTAAGTAATTCTTGCAAAGTATTCTCATCACAAAAAGGCACTATATGATTTTCAGATAAATGAACTTGAAGTCTTATAATATTGGGTTTTTCATTATGTAATTTATAATAAAATAACCTTCAGGCCGCTTCTAAAGCAGAAACATATCATGTATCTAAATAAAGGTGAATTTCATTATTATTTATTACCTGATTGGTTCACTATGATGTTGTTATTTCAACAGTTGCACAATCATGGCCCTTATAGACATATTTAAATAAATATTTAACAGCAAAAATAGAAGAGCATATTTCGACATTTATATGTGCATTATATTTAGTTGCAAGATAAAGATTATGTAGAACTACCCATCTGCTATCTAATTGCACACCTCTAACTTTAACGAATTGAGCATTATTGTGATATTAATAAATTAGATACTCAGCATTATTTATAAATGTACTGTTGCAAAAATCATGTATATATTTTTTTATATATTTTTCATCATTCATGCATGGTGCATTAGAATTTGCAGAACCACATGGACCATGTATTATTATTCATTTAACAGTTTCATATGCTGCAGGATGGATGTCTTTATTAGAAAACTCTGCTGATACAATAGCATCGTAGTTATCAATAGTTTTCAGCTTATGATCATGTTTAAGAATTATAAGGATATGTGTATGCAGAAAACTACATTTCTGGAATTTCATTATATAAACATTACCTATAACTAATCCAAAAATATTATTTTTTATAATATCTTCCATTAAAACTTTTAGTTTTAAATTAAAAACTCTTGCAGTAAGATCAGAATGATCAGATGTTGTTTGATTATTGAGAAGCTTATTTGTAATTTTTGACCATGCTGAATTACATGTAAAGGTAATAAAAAGGTCAGGTTTACCTAATGTGCATACAATTGCCATTGCATTCTGATATAATTGATGCATTTAACAGAGCCTACCAGTAAAGCTTAAAGAAAATATAATTCTTCTGCCTATATTTGCTGCTATTAAATCTCAAGGTTGTTTATCCTGTACAGCTAAAGCATCTTGTAAACTTCTATAAAGCTCTACTCAGATTTTTTGTTAATTATGTTTTAAATAATTAAGACAATTTTGTTCTATATTTGCATATATGCTGACTATATATTGCTAAAAATGATGGTTAGCAAGATGTAGAGATAATCCTTCTTCAGGTCTATCTACTTGTAAACAATATGCATAATATTGCATTATAGTAACATACTTTTGAGCTCTATCACTATTTTCAATATCTTCAATATTATTATTTATTTCTTGATGTTTTTCAGTATCCAAGTATGATAAGTGGGCCTCATTACAAATTGGAATTTTTGGATGCTATCTGTCCTCACCTCTGAGAAATAGAAGTATATAATGTAATATAGCATATGCTCTATGTAGTTCTGATATTTGCTATAACTCTCCAGTATGTGAACGTAGAATAATATCATGATTGCATATTTTAGTCTCATTGCCACCTACTAAAATTGCTGCAATTTTTGATGCAGTTGGAATGTTATAGTGTATGATGCTGTCATTCTGGAATCTGTAATTAGCATTGTTAAATTTTGAGCTGGATTTCGAGATAGCATAATTTCAGTTTGCTAAAAAACTTAAACATATGAATTAATATTATATAACATATTTTGAAGCTCAGTAAGAGTTAACTCATCTAAACCTGATACAGTATTGAGTCTATTTTGAATTTCATTATCCATATCATAAACATATATCTGCACATATAAAGAATGTTCTGAATTTGGAGGAGAAAAAAGAAAACCAATACAGTAATGCATTTCACTATGTATATGAAAGCTATAAAAACCTCTCATTTCAGTAATACAATTATCAATTTTTGCTCTTATTGAAGTAAAAGCTAGTGCAGCATTGTAAGTACATATTTTTTGGCAAAATTCTTGAGCTTGTGTATTAGTGCCAGTTAAATAAGAATATAATAAAGATAGTGGATCTTGAAGATTAGGTAATACAACTTTTTTTTATATATAGCAAGTTCCAAAAATAGGCAAACATCGTGATGAATTTATGCATCATTCATCTATCCATTTTAGTGCACCACAATGAATGCATAAAATATTTATTCTACCAAGATTATGTTAGTTTAGTCTACTTGAATCAAAAGGATATACTCTAGTCTTTGAGCTGAAGTTACTTGTATAGTAGAAATAGTACTATTAACTGCTGAAGGTTCATTCAGAATAATGCTTTCATAAGGATGTGATGGTAAAGAGTGCCTATTAAGGATAATTGAAGAAAAAGCATTAGTACCTGTAGATAGAGAAGCAATAGGTAAGAGAGGTTCCTGCATTTGGACAGGTAAAGGCAGAGCTGCATGCAAAGATGTTTGTGCATATGATTCTTTGCATTGTCTTTTGTAATGTTCTATTTGCTCTGATGTTTAATTAGCTCTTCTTCATGCAGCTGCCTTTCTTCGTAACCTAAGTCATCATTCTTTATGAGTTTCATTAGTAAACGAATCTATTATATTAGCACTAATATTATATTGTGCTGAAAAAAAGTATTTATAATTTGCTAGTATTAATAAGTAAATAAAGTTAAAGCAATGTATGAAAAAGTACAAAACTATCTAAAAAAAAGAGAACCTAAATAGTAACTACTTATCTATAGATTGCAAAGTGGCAGTTTATGTTGAGATGTAATGTAATACAAAAAATGCATTGTTTGCATTTCTTATTTGGAAGATTTATATTAATTAAACTTTTACAATAAGCATGTCGATATCAGAAAACATTAACAAAAGTGCTGCTATACAATTTTACATAAATTTCAATTTTACATTACATATAATTTTCATCATGTTATATATAAAGTAGTAGTTTTTACTAAAGCTCTAGTAGCATTATTGCAACATTTAATTTGAATGTATGATTTTCTAAATTGCCAAAATTTTGAACTTGAAAACTTTTTTTTTTTTTTTTTTTTTTTTTTTGTTATGCCAAAGTAGAAACTTTATTAAGTAAAAAAAGTAATTACATTAAAGATTTCTAAACTACATTTGTGCTACTTATTTAAGACACCCAATGTGACATTACACCCCC